TGTGTGGGGGGGCAGACTTGATGGTCCATATTATGGATCAGCCAAGGGGATAAGCATGTGCCAAGAGAGAGGAGAGTGGCACACTTCTGCCTAGCAACTCCTGCAGGACATACACATTTCTGAGACAGGCATACACACCTAGCCAGCCTTTCAGGAACAATGTGAACTTCATATGATATCCATGCCTGTCCCTGAACTCAAATGAAGTGAACCTACGATCTTGCATTGCAACAAGGCTGCGGGTACGAAAAGATCCTTGCTATTTGTTCAAGGGTGAAGAGCTGCTCACCCACCCTGCACTGAAAATGACACATGCCCGCAGAGAAAGGTCATTCACACACAAAATGCATCAAAAAGAAGTGAAATTCAACTCAAAGAAGACTGGGATGAGTGTTTTAAGTTATACTTAGGTCCCTTTTGCTTTGGCCAACACATGGGCCTGTCTTTTCTACAGAGCAAGCTTGTTCTTTTCAGTCCTGGCAAGCTGAATAGCTGCCCAATGTATTTGGCATCTGGGGCAAAACCCACCCCTGGTGCTGGTATATGCATATGATACTAGACATCTTGGAAGCTGTGGGGTAGGACCAAGGAACCTGAGCCAACCAGTGGGCAGATACCTGTTAAATAGGTGTTGTGCGATGAGTTGATGAAGTAATGTGAGAGTGGCTGGCTCATGTCCTGGTACAGAGTCACTTTGTCCAGTGCTACCACACTGTTCTCAGAACCACAAAGGAACCAGACCATTCCCTCTGGAGATAACTGCCCTGCAGGGAAAACAGAGCTATTAATGGCACTGAAAGAATTAGACCCAGCCCCCTTGCTGAGCACTTGCAGGAATTAGGTTGGCTGCTTCCTGACACTGTGGGAAAACTCAGTGTAGCATGCAGTGCAAGATTCTTCCTGGCTTCCCTGCTGTTTCATGCACAGATCTCTGCGCAATAATAAAGGGAGTCTATTTGGACTGTAGCAACTTTGATCTTTATTTTATGGGCAGAGTATTCAGTAAGGCTGCTTACAGCTGTAAGGTGCATTGTGTGTTCAGAGCTGTTGTAAAATTCCCCAAGCACATGGAGCTTCCTGATGTCACCCTCCAAATCACACCCCCAACATTTTTTTCCAATCTGCAGGGGACCTGAAGATAGTTACACCTACCTCTCCCCTCCCCCACCTGCACAGGCACACTAGAGAAAGGGGCCAGTGTGCTGATCAAGACTCACCTCGCTGGATGTTGATCCCACTGGGTTCATATTTCTCTATTAGGCTCTGCACCTGCTCAGGTTTGGCAGGTGGGAAAAGGATATCATTGAGGCGGGAATCTCGCTGTTTCTTGTTGATAAACTTTGCCAGGTGCTCTTTGGTCATGTAGGGCTTGGCTTTCAAATGGCTATAGGCAAACAATGAGTAAGGAACAGAGAGAGGAAGCATATTTTTGCATTACTGAAAAACTCCCCTGATAGCAGTGAAACCCAGACTGACCCCTCCTGCCACTGGCCATGTGTATGCATTCCTTTGGACTCTCACCCATTCCCAATTTCTCTCTGCAAATCTCTCTCTCTCACTCGGCCTTTCAGTATTCTTTTCTCATTGTTAAGAAATAAAAATATAAAAAATGTTTATTTAGCTCTGGGGAAAGGCTAGACTGACTGGGGACCCAGGCCCTGGTTTTCAGAAATGACCAGCAGTTTTTGGTGCCTCAAGTGTTTTGTGCCTGACTTGAGATACTAAAAAGGGGCCTCAATTTCTGCATCTGCCAAGTGCTTGCCCTTTGAAAAATCAAGCCCATTTAAGTTGACACAAGTTTGCAGACTGGTCACTTGTGAAAGTTTTAGTTGAATATTCTTTCTCTTTCCACTGCAGAGGTCCTGGCATAGGACTGCTGATAGAATTGGCAAGTCTAGGGCCAGGATGGTGCTATGAAGTGGTTTGGATTTTGACAAGGTCCCAAATGACCTTCTTGTAAAACAACTCAATGCAAGCTTCCCCACATACTCACTCTAACATGCTTCACTTTGCCCTGGAGCAACCACCTCTAGCAGTGAGAGGATACTTCAGTCTCTGTGACCCAGTGGGTGCATCTACACATGTGCTTTACTGAGGAGTGTGGTGGGCCAGTAGGGGGCACTCCTGCGTTGAGCCACCC